GACGGGGGAGGGGGGGGTCGGCCCTTTTCGGGACATTCATTGCCCCTTTTTCCCTTGCAGCTGCTGCACCAAATAGCAGTTCTTTTGAAGGCCAGGAACAAGGCTGGTCCTCAAAGTTCATAATTAGAAATCTCAGGGAGAAATCACTGTTGCTAAGTTATGCCATGGGGAAGGGGGTTTCTTTTTTTGTAATCAAAAAAACAGAACAAAACGAAAAACAACACTGATTCTATGTTTAGATTGTTCATATGACCATAAAGACCAACTGACGGATAAATCTAATGGAGTGCACTTCACGGCAGGGGGCTCAGAGCAGAGCCAGTGAACTGGCTTTGTTTACTGCTGTCTGCAAATACAGAAAGCTTAGAAAATCTCCAGGGAAATGAAAGAATGTTATATATGCAAACCATAGTTCCAAGAACACATGTACATGGTAGGTTTTGTCAACTGCCCTGTGCTAGGTGCCTACATTATTTCAAGTCATAACAAACCTGTGGGGCAAATATTTATGACAATTTACAGAGAAAAAAAAAAAAAAAACTAAGGCTTTGGAGAGATTGAAAAAAATAAAGCATGCTCAAAGTCACATTTAGTTTATGGCAATTTTTACATCATATGGTTATTCCATATCCCTCCCAAGTTAAATATATATATATTTTATACATATATAAATATTATATATTTATATATTTAATATATATTTATATATATTTGTGTGCATATAATATATACAGAATATTAATATGTATATATTATAGAGACATATATATGAATGTATAGCAAACAAAAATAATTTAATATAAAGTATACATAAAATCTACAAATATTTAATTAGGGGTTGAATACTTCTTTTATAAATTATGTTAGTGTATGAGGGAGTAAAAAACAACCTGAAAATTCTGATAGCCTGATAAAGGGATGATTGCCTGGCACGTTTCATGCCCATCATGTAGATGTGACCTATGTGTCCCCCGCAGAAGGATCTACTCTCTGCCATCAATTCCACTCCAGGCCTAGGTTGAGGAGGAAGCCACTCTCTGGAGCATTACCGGCCAACAAGATAGAGGGAGAGGTGTCACAGGAACACCTGTGACAGAAGGGGTGCCCGGCTTCTGAGAGCTTCTGCCCAGAAGTGACGTGTTTCCCTACATTACCATATCACGCAGCTGACTTCCAGGGGACCGGAAAGTACCACTCTCCCTTGGGGGTTGGGGTAGCCAGATCCTGAGGGACACACTCTACATTTTTTCCCCATTGGCTACCATGGGTTGTTCTCAGGCGAGGTTACTTGCCCAAGAAGGAAAGGCAGCGGGCACTTGCCCAATTAGCTCACCAGGTAACAAAACTAAATGGCACATTGTCAGAACAACTCACTAATCTCCAATGACATAGTAATTTCCCTAAATTTCAATGCAAGCATTGAGAATTCATTTTTATAGTGGAGTAGCAAAACATCCTATTTTTTTTTTTTTTTTTTGTGGTGGTGTTTAGAAATCAGTGAAATTGATGATTAAGGTAGAAAGGTTCTTTTTCTTACATACACACACATCTGGTTCGTCTAGGTGACCATTTACAGGCTGCTTATAATTTCTATGAGAGCAGGAACTGGTACCTGACCTCTGAGTAGGGTACTTCAGACTCACTGAGCAGACAGTAAATGCCATTTTTTCCAACTGTGAATTTTAATAAAATAGCTAACAACCCTGAGAACTCCTTTGTGTTTTATTTTACTAGTGAAATATTATTAGTCCTTCCCCTCCCTGAAACAATTCATTTGGACAAGGTGCTCACCCTGTCATCTGCAAAATGGCAGGGCCCTCTCTCTGATGTCCCTGCCCAATCTGAGCCTTGACTCAGGCTTTCTTGTGGCTCAGTTCTACAGATTAACAACTGCAATAATTTCTAATTTTCCATTGAATTGCAGAAATAGAAAAGCAATTAACTTGGATTTCTCCAGCTCTGTTGATCATTTTTAATCTATAACATCCTACTCCTTACAGACCCTACAGACCCTGCCATCATCTAGAAATGCCACTTTGAGGGGTACCTGGCTGGCTCAGTGGGTACAGCACGTGACTCTTGATCTCGGGGTCATGAGTTCAAGCCTCATGCTGGGTATAGAGATTACTTAAAAAAATAAAATCTTAAAGAAAAATTAAAATTCCACTTTGACTCTAACTTCTGGAGACCCCCTCAAAAGCGATTTTTTTTCCTTCTTTAGTACAGATCAATCCTTCATTCATTTCCTCTATATTCCGTATGAAGGAAAATAAAGTGACACAATTCTCTCACTTTGTGAAGTGCCCTGAATTCCTGTTTATAAGAAGCTAAGCTTGACAATAGGTCTTTGTCTCTTTCTTACAAGAGAAGAGACGCAATTATATTAAAATAAAAATTAAATATAAATAAATGAAAATAATAAATACAAATAAATTAAAATAATATTAACTTATAAATAGCTAAAATACCTCAAAATGTCTCCTTAGTTGTTTCCTTATGAAGCACATATTCTATCATGCATTACAGCTTATTATAGACAGATAAGCTGGGCAAAACTTGCTGATTTGCAATAATATTTTGTCCACACAGCCTTCTAAGCCCTTACCTCCTACCCCCGAATTTCTCCCACATTAGCACATGGTCAGCTCACAGTACATGGTCATTGTACATACAACCATCCATTGAGAAGGTCCTTCTTTCTTTATCCTACAGTAGGACTCTATTTGTCTCCAATAATTTTTAATTGACATATATATTACATACATATATATGCCTATAGAACGTCAACCATGATAATGGTATAAGCATGAGCTGCAATAAACATTTGCGTTTTTTGGAAAAAAAATAGAAATATGCTAATGTTTGAAACATGCTAATTTAAAGTGAGGTCTATCTTGATATGCTATGTATTATGACTCGGACCGAAATCTATCCACAAACGCATAGGCATACTCATGAGGTGAGCAAGGATGAGCTGGAGAGAGAAGGGAAGATAAGAAAAACCAGAGATGAGAACCATACCTAATGCATCATTGGCATTAGCATCCTTTAACTGGGAAGGACACAGCTGTAAACTTGAATGTCTACAGTAGCCATGAAGATCCATGGACTGATGAATCCAGCTGGTGTCATTGTGAGCTAGAGACTTGATGTCCTTTCCGAAGGGGGCAGCTATGACCCAGTACATTGCCATCTCGCTTGAAAGAAGACACAGTTGGCCAGCACTTCCCGGTTTTCAGGAGGAACATAAAATCTGGGGCACCTGGGCGGCTCAGTCTATTAAACATCGGACTTTGGCTCAGGTCATGATCTCGAGGTTCCCAAGTTCCAGCCCCACGTCAGGCTCTGTGCCGATGGCTCAGAGCCTGAAGCCACTTCAGATTCTGTGTTTCTCTCTCTCTCTCTCTCTCTCTCTCTCTTTGACCCTCCCCCACTCACTCTCTCTCTCTCAAAAATAAAAAAACATTAAAAAAAGAAACACAAAATCCATATTTTAAATATGAAATGTCCTGATTTTTAAATGTTGCTGTTAATTCGATTAAAATAACTATTGAATGGGCCACAGAAGCCACATCCTGAACTTGGTCTTCAGGCCACTAGCTACAACCCAGAGGCTAATGCTTTCACTTATAACTATCCCTGAGAGAAGCAGTAATACCTTGGACAAAATTATTTAATCTCACTTTGGAACCGTTAACATGGGCAAAACATTGTGCAGTGTCTAGAAGCTTCCTACAAGAGCCTTTGCAAAGTAATTAACAAACATCTCAACAATGCTAGAAACTAGCATTCAGAAATGTGATCCTGCTTTTCAAGCATTACGTAACCCTCAACCCTAGAGATAATGAAGAATACTAATGACATATAATGCTAATAAGAATACTAATGACAAATGAATGCCTCAGCAGTTTTGTGCTAGCCATATTATCCCCAAAAAAGCAGCAGCTTCTTCCCTACTCTTTGCCAGAGATGGCTCTCAACTCAGAGTCAAATGCAAATAACTTGACTCAAAGGGAGAGAATAAATGGCTGAGGAAAGGAAGAATGTCTGTAACTAGGACCTACCCCCCCCACCCCCACCCCCTCAGCAGCAGGCCTACTGAGGTCACTGACCCTCACCTTACAGAAATAGGTACTGGTCACAGTACAAAATTGCAAAGGTATAAAAGGACAGTTGAAAAATAGGCCTCCTTCCAACCCCTGACCCCCAGCTAACAAATATTCCTCCCCAGAGGCAACCCTGTTACTGAATTCTTGCATCTTCTTAAAATAAATCTTCAGAAGAGCTGTTGAATGGATGAACATTGGAAACGTATTTTAGAAATACATGCTCTTTTGGAATTTTAGGAGTGGAAGGGACCTGGTTCAGTCCTTAACTCACAGCCTCCCTTAGCACTGCTCATACATACCAAGCTTTCTAAGGATAAGAAACCATTCCATTCAGAGGCGGCTCATTCCACTTTTCAATTGCTCTAGTAGTTTATAAAGACTATCTTTAAAGATTTTGACATCTGCCAATCAGGTGTTTTTCGTCACCAATCCTTGCTTTGCCTTAAAAGGCCAGAGAAAACAGGTGGTCAAAGACCTTTTGCCTCAGGTTTGCCTGAGAAGGAACTTAAAGTATTTGAGGCCCTCCTTTCTCTGTCAAATAATTTGTTTCTCTTCCCTTTCCACAGGGTGTGTGGTTGCAGAGGACCCACCACCACGTTCCTTCTAGAAAAGATTAAGCTCTTACTTAAAATACTCAGGAAGCTCTTCTAAGAGGAAGACTGCTCGTAAGAGGAAGAAAAGAGTTTCCAATTTGTAGCTGGCCAAGAGAACGGACAGCCTGTGTCGTGAAAATTGATAGACCATATGAGATTTAATGTGGGAAGTACTGGGGTCTCAGTACATACTTGCCAAGATGGTATGCACGGATGCTTTATCCAGAAATTTTTTGGTCAAGCAGCAATTTTGGTTGTAACTTCTCTAAGAACTTGCCAAGATATCCTGACACAATTTAGAGTCCTGATGTCTCCATTTGAAATGTCGTAATTGAATGATGGAGGACACAGCCTGGATCTGGATTCAAGGCTGGCTTCATGACTAGCAAATCTTACTTTGGGACTTTTGGGGAAAATTATTTATTTAACTTCTCCAAGCCAGTGTCATCTTGCTGTAAAAGGCAAACACCGTATAACCTAACTAATGGGTAATCAGATGAGCTCATTTCTGATCAGTACTTAGCACGGAGTTGGGGTTGCCTCTGCTATTCGTATGGTGGTGGTGGTGGTGGTGTGGGGCCCAAGACGTGCCCCGGGAGCACTCTCTGCAGAGACTGAGTGCCTGGGAACCCTTTACGCAAGGCCCAGTCTGGGCGAAGCTGTATTCTCTTGAGAGGATGTCATTTCCGCCAGCTTGGCCATATGGTTTTTCACCTCACAAATAACACATTATCAGGACACTCCACGTACCTGCCAAAGAGCACAAAATCATATGGAACGTCACCCCTTCCATCACAAACTCAGGGGAGAAACTGAAACTTGAGACAGGTGCCCCAGGAGGATGTGAAGGTTACCCCTTCCTCCCCAGTCCTCTCCATTCCTTGGGATCAACCCAATATCAGATTGTGTGCCTGAAGTGTCCCACTGCCTCCTTGAGTAATTGTTTTCATAAAGCTTTGCTTCCTGAGATGCCATCATATCATATCAAAGGTCATTGGAACAAAATAGCTCTAGAAAGCTTAGTACTATTACAAAAAGGTGGCTACTAAGAATTCTGAAGTCTTTATACATTGTCTTCTTTTGAGGAGTCCCTGGAAGAAATTGCTATGCGGTCTTAAAAATTAGTTGTAGCTTCAATTGATTAGTGTTTTAACCTATGGACAATATGATTTGTGCCACCCATCATATTTCCTTGACAGACGCCTTAGAGTCAAATCCATGGCCTTGTTAAGTAAATGCACCGAACTTTGCTGTGTGCAAATCTTCTGTAAGACGCCGTTCCAGCTTCATTCCAGGTTCCCCTGTGGTGTTTCCGGTTTGCTCTCCTCCAGTTTGGGATGCTTCTGTAGTTGTGTTTCTTTGCAAAGTGCTTTCAGTCCTTGTTTGGAACACGTGGAGGGAACTAAAACATGGCCTGCAGAATCTTCATAGCCTTCCCCATCCAGGGGCTGAGTGAGTTCAGAAGGCTCAGTGGTTGTCCTGATTTGTTAAAACAAAGGAACAAATGAGAATGATTCTAAATTCAGGTGAAAAAATATATATAGGTTCTATGGATGGTGAGGGGCCCTGTGCCCTGGACCCCTCCTCTAGCGACGGGAAGGTTCTGAGCTTTAACTCCACTTACTTTAGGTTAGTAATTCCTACTTACACAGTGGGGAGGCCAGAGCTGAATCAGATCCGAATGTCACTAGTGAATCTTGTGTGGAGAGGAGGGAATCCAGTTGTAGAATGGGGCCTGCAGGTATCTGTCAGGTCTAGGAAGGAGACTGTACTCTGCAAAAGAAATGTCGCTCAAGTTTCTGCTGCCAGAGAACGTCTGATTTCTTCTGGCCAAACCCTTAGTGAATTTCCCCGTCGTTCCTCCTGCTTGAGAGGCCTGGTTGTGGCAGAGAGGTGTGTCTCCACTAGCGTTTGTGTTGTCTTCATTAGAAGCCCTGTTGTTTGCGAAATAATTTACCAAGCACGTTTGTTTTTCAGGTCCCCGTGGCTGGTTGATACGAAATGCTGTGGACTCTGTCGGTACTCATGCATTCATTCAACTAATATTTTCCAAGGCCCGTCTCTGAGCCAGGAGTTGGGTACCCTCATTCCAGCCGATTTCTAGGTTGCTCGACGGGATGTGAAAGGTCCTCAGACTTGAGAGCTCCCATGTCAGCAGCCTGGCACTCCCGCCACGCAGGCGCAGCGTGGCCAGGCCAGCCTCTGACCCCCACTAGGGTCCCGGGGTGCTGTGGAGGAGTTGGGGGCCAGAATAAAGGGATGGTTTTCCATTCCTGCCGTTACCCGGTCTTGGGCCTAAGGCTCGGCCAGTTTGCCCCGGAGCTGGTACAAGTTTGCTCCGCAGGTTGGAGGGACGAAAGGCGGAAATGGGAACCCTGGTACAAATTTGGCTCCACGGAGGCTGGGTCACTGAGTAACTGCTCGAGTCCGCGAGCTCCGGGTCCGGAGGGACAGCGCAGGGAACGTCCTGAGGGCACCCACTCGGCTCCCGGACATCGCCTCCTGCCGCCACCCCAGCCCTGCCCCGAGCGCTTGGACCCCACGCGGGCCACCGCTGTCCGCCACCTCTAGTCGCCGCCCGCCCGAGGTCCAAACTGCCGGTTCTTCCTCCCTTCTCCGCGCTTTCTGCTCCTCCTCTGCTCCTCCCGATCCCTCCTCCTCCGCCTGGTCCCTCCTCCTTCCAGCCCAGCCTCCCGGGCCCCCGCCCCCGCGAGCTAGACGTCTGGGCAGCCCCCGGCGCAGCGCCGCGGCAGCAGCCTCCGCCCCCGGCACGGTGTGCACGCCCGCGGCCAAGGCGGCCCGAGTCCGAGCGGGTGCCGAGCTGGTCCCGAGCGAGCCCCGGCGGCCACCGCCTCGCAGACCGGACGACAGGCCACCTCCGCGTCCACCCGAGTCTCGCCTCGCCACGCACGGCCGTCCGACTCGCTCGCGACTCACTGCGGAGACCCGGAGCCGGAGCAGGGGGGCAGCGATGCGACCCTCCGGGACCGCGGGAGCCGCGCTCCTGCTGCTGCTGGCTGCGCACTTCCAGGCGAGTCCGGCGCTGGAGGAGAAGAAAGGTAAGGGCGAGTCCCGCCGGCCCCGAGCCGCAGCCGGCCCGGCCCGCACCCGCCGCACCGGCTCGGCGTC